GCTTTTTACTGTTTTCTTTTTGACGTTTTGAAAAAAGCAAAGATTCCTTGCTTTTGAAAAACGCTTCCTCTCTCTTTTTTCTCTTATATAAGGAGATCATTCTTTCATTTGTGGAGACACAAGAAAATATATCCAATACAAAGTTTTGAGTTCTCTCAAATATGTTCTAATTTTCTTTCCTTCCCGAAAGGGAAATTCTTAATTGTTCTTATTCTTAGATAGAATAATATCCCACAAAAATATTTTATTTTTAAACTACTGATGGATCATTCCAGTAGGTATGTTTATAGTTCTAAGATATGGTGCTAATAATTAATATTAGTTCCAGATCTTTTAAGAGCAGTTGTTGTTTATAAAGTTTTATTATTCTTGTAAAGAATTTTATGCTTCATGCTGAGTATATGATAAAAGCATGTCTTAACTCCAAGTTAAAAGTTTAAAACTGTTTTTAAAATAAGCCCTGAGTGACCTCTAAAAGCGTAAAGGCCCAGTGGAGAGGCTAGGAGACGCATAAAAGAGGGAAAGGGATCATTGTTTTAAGAATTCTTTTTAAGGGAGTGCAAGTGGTGTCCTTAAAAGAATGGAGTTAGGCCCAAGTTCATATATCTCAGATGGCATGTTTTTGTTTTAAAAAAAAAAAAAAAAAAGGGATATTATTTTATTAAAAGAAAAAGATATCTAAATTAAGAAGAGTACTGAGTAGGATTTTTAATAATCTTTATCAACCTCCTATAACAGCCTCCAAATCCTTGAAATAACCCTCATTTCAAGGGCCCCCCCTCTTTTGGTTTTTGTTTGTCCACCTAACAGATTTGGATCAAGTGACCTGATTGAATCAAAGATTGTAATTTGTTTGACCTAACTGTTATATATATTTTTTACACTCCATCCATCATTAACCAAATTTCGTTTTCCTCAACACTGAAGTGTCAAATTGAAATTTCACGGACTGCGTGACAAGTTATGGCCTTTAAAAATTACAACTTAGCCAAATCATACGAGTTAAATTTTTCATACTCACCCAACTTATAATTATGGTCACAATTTACTCGTCAAACTTTAAAATGCTTCTCAACGGTTACTCATCATTATGAGTTGCACTCCATTCATTATCTACCAAATTTCATTCCTTTTGTTGTTGATATGTCGCATCCCACTGGCAAGTTATGATGTTAAAAAAATTGTAACTCGGTCAGATCGTGCAACTCATCAAAATTGCTATATGTGAAATGTTGCCCCATAATAAACTTTTTTAAGCCCCAATAATTTCCTCCCCAATTTCAGCTCCAAAAAATACTAACTCCCCAATTCACACAGCTCACCCACGTAAAGTTAAATTGTATACTGAGACATGATTGATTTTTGAGAAGAATGCGAGAAGCTACTAATAAAATCATACCTCAATTGTACAATGTGTCTAGCGTCTCTTTAAAATCTTCCAGTTTTGCAAACATGTCTCTGTGACCATTTTAGGAAGGAAATGTCATCGAACTCCTATCAGATTGAGAAATGAAGAACAACAAACACGAACACGATCCGTAATGTGTTCCAATCGTACACTAGACTTCGAAATTCAATGACATTGTCTTCCTTAAATGGTCGGATACATACCTCAAAATGGAAGATTATAAAATTGGTAAATAGGGCTTTGTAAATGGTAGCTTCTGACGTCCTTCTCAATGTTCGGCTCGGTCTTAGTATACAATTTAGCTATACGTGGGTGAGATGAGTGAATTGAGGGCTAAGATTTTTTAAGGATGAACAATTAGGCTCGAAGAGGTTTATGAGGTCGAGAAAGTTGTGTTTCACATATGGTGATTTTCAAAAGATGAATGGTTTGTTTGAGTTGTAATTTTTTTAGCAATCTTAATTTGTCACATGAAATTTTCGTGTGATATGTTAGCAATGAAAGGAATGAATTTTGACAAATGATAAATGGAGTACAACTCTCAAAGATGAGTGACCATCGGGAAGCATTTTGAAATTTGATTAGTAAACAACATCCTATAAGTTGAATGAGTAATGAAACATTTTACTTGGACAATTTTGTTGAATTGTAATTAACTTGCCATGTAGGATTTTCTTTTGACACGAGAGCAAATGAAGGGAACTGAATTTGGCATATGATGGATGAAGTGCAAACGAAAAAAGTTGAATGAGCATTATAAAGCACTCTGAAATTTTTTAGTAAGAACTCCACGACCTTGATATTATTAAAATATTCAACCCTTGATTTGGCACTCATTAATAGATATAAAATATGTAAGATAACTTTTTAAATAGATACAAAATGTAGCAAATAATTCCAACTAAGAGATCCTATAACAAACTTAGCTCCTATTTGGCAGGGATTAAAATTCAAATTTGAATTTAAGTAAAGTCTACAATTAATTTTTAGTGTATATTTTATGGAATTCAAAACATTTTAACCATACATTTCATCAATTTTTATTAAAATCTACTAAAAATTTGATTTTAATTCTCACCGAACATGGGCTTAAACTAATTCAACAAAATCAATAGATGAAAAATATGTACAATTGAACAACAAAGTTACTAGAAGAATAAATTTTCTAAATATAACGATAGACTCGTAACAACCGTGGAATTAATTGCCTCAATAATCACTAAATTTATGTATGTGTCTTCAATTGCTCAGTAAAGTTTCAAATGTTGTGTTTGGCCTTTGAACTTATCAAAATAGTGAATGTTATTCATTGGCATGACAAAAGGAACTTTTCAAAACGTTTTTTTATTGCTCACTACACTTTTCAGAATGCTTTTTATTGCTTGCTATACTTTAAGGTGATTGATTTTGGCCACTAAACTTGTAACACTGATGCCAGATTGTCGTGCAAATTTAGGAATACTGTTTCAAGTATCATTTTCATACAACAAAATAAGTTTACAACATTGTACAAGGAAATGTTTTAAGATATTTTGCAATATACTTGAGTTTTATTGCAATTAATTCCATATTTGATTTATAATCTACATTAACAAGAAGAAAATATTGACAATTCTAATGACTTATTTTAACAAAAACACTATGACATTTACCCAAAAATCCACAATTTACATTAACAACAAAACATTACACCAAAAACCATCCAAAAAGCAAATAAATTTTTCCTTTTTTATTAAAAAATTAGTCACCAGAATTGTATTTTCTTACTGTTAATTTAGATTATAGATCGAACATGAAAATAATTCAAACAAAGCCCGAGTATATTACAAAATGTCTTGAAACATTTTTTTGTAGCATGTTGCAAAATTATTTGTTGTACAAAATGATATTTGGAATAGCATTCTTAAATTTTCAAGATAGGTTGGCATCGATTTTACAAGTTTAGTGGCTAATACTCGACTACCTTAAATATAATGAGCAATAAAAAACATCTTCCGACGTACAGTAAACAATAAAAGACATTTTTTCTTACGTGACAATTTGGCGTGCAACATCTAAGCACAATCTGTGCACTCCGTATGTCATGTCACCAACTTCGTTAGAGTTGTGTAACGGCTGTCACCAATCAGTAATGTTCAATATTTTGACAAATTTGGTGACAAAAACTTGACATTTGAACTTGAGAGAATAATCAAGGATACATACACAAATTCTGTAATTATTGGGACGATTAACTCAACAACCGTACATGTCAAACTTCTCGACTAAAAACTTAATTCAACATTTACTAGAGAAGTATTGAAGAATAAATTTATGTAAATAAAATATAAATTGTTTAACTAGTTAAATATTTAAATATGGTGGCTCAATACGTGCAAGTTTATAAGTTCACAAACAATATAATATAGGAACACAACACTAGCAACTAGTGGTAAAATAAATTCTACACAATCATTACACGAACAGAGCATTTCCTTGCCCCAGTTTCTTCATGGTTTTTATTGAGTTAATTTATTTATTTTGTTCACTTTATAATAGAAGATTAAACAAGGTAAAATTCAAGATAAGAAGCACATGCCAAAAGATCATTATCTCAACTTTCAGTTGGCAACTATCCTGCGTACAAAAATCTGGAATCTGCCAACTTTTCGGCATCACAAGCTATATAATACAATCTTTATAACCCTATAAAAAGACATATATGTCCATCCCTTCGAATCCAAGGTTTCATTTTCATGTAATGTTAAGGTTTCATAAAATAGTTTCGCCAACAATATGCAGAATGCAATCACCAGAATCATAAAAAAGGCGCTGAAAGCCTGAAATGGCCACGGTGAGGAGATAAATTGGGATTCAACACCGTCAGGGACGGAAAATATGTGGGTGTACTGAGCTACTACTAGTGCTTGCTTGAGGGACCCGTTATCATTTGGCGAGGAAAATCAGTTTCTTGGACTGAAGCAACAACCATCACTATTTATTGGTTCCTTCTGTTCGTTGCTTGACTTGATTATCACCCTTCGGGGGTTCTTCATCATAGTTTTTGATCCTGTAATAAAGATTTAGGAGGTTATTCCTAATGCATATGTACTCCAGTGTATTTCCAGATCTAAATTATACCGTTCTCCATTAGTCAAGTTTGTTTTGCAGATTATCAAGGATACAGATATCATAATGTTTGACGGGACAAACTAAAATCAACATCAGGATCCTTACAATAGTTTCTATGAAAGAGAATCGAAGACATAAATCTGATAATGCAGCAAATTGCCACGTGTTCTAGACTTGGACATAGTTACTAGCAAGATTTCAAGGGAATAGTTGGAAGAAGTAAAAAGGAAAAAAATTTGTCAGCAAAATTTATTGGGACATGTCAAAATCTTGGAATAGTAACAGAGGAACCAAAACAAACTAGAGAATAAAGACATTCAAAGAGAAATAACCTCAGAGCAAAGACTGCAGTAAACTGGTGTTAAACTGTAGGAGACAAACTGTACTCAAGGTCAGAAAATGGCTGGATTATAAACCCTATATAGCATATAAATAATTTTGAATAGAAGCATTCAAATGCAAAATCACGTATCAAACACAACACCTAACGATATTTATTAGTTTACAGCATGAGATATTCCTTTGGTCAAACTGCACCGGCAAATAGCATTATTCGCCAAAGGGAAATAAATTCTCAGACCTATAGGAGCAATTTATTTATTCTTAAAATTATCATCCATTATATTTTAAGTTAAATAATATCTTTCATGCAGAAACATGCCTAGAAAACTAAAACATTTCAGTTATTCCATCTATGAGAAAATGTCTTACCTGAAAACTTTTGATGCTGTCCATCTCTTGATCTTTTTAGGTTAACTGAATGACCAGTTACAACTGCACTGAGTCCTCCTGCCGCTTCAGAACCATAGATAAAATTTTTTCCTTTTACATCCTACACGTTAACAACAAAATTCGAAGAGAATAACTTCAATCCACGACTTGTGTACTTTTACCAAAAACAAGATAATTCTCATGTAATTGGTTCAGACCTTAAGTAAATTATATTGTTCCACCCACTTCGATTTTGTCAAATTGCATAAAGCAAGTTTCTTCAAAGTTATACAATCTTCTGCTTTCACGCCAGACAATGAGTTATCAATAACTCCTTCTGCAAGAAGTTTCTGGAAGGATGATAGGTTCTCCTTGAATTGAGGACTGTCGAACATACTTTTTAGACTGAATGTAAAAAGAGAGAACATTATCAACATAAAACACGTTAAGCTTATGTCAGTGTGCATATATATATATATATATATAAACATTTTAATGATTTTTACAAGGCTTAATCAAGAAAAATGAGATGTTAAAAACCCATCCTACTAATACAATTTAAAAAGAAAATATAATTCAATTTTTATTAGAAATCTATGGATCTTTCTGGTCTTAGATTATCTGCAAATCACAAAAATTAGTATTTTGAGATTGATTAGTAAGTATGCTACTTCATTTCCTTAAGTTACTAGCTCATGCTATGAGGAGAGCTGTCCACTTCTTCCGAATAATTTCTTTGAAGCTTCAAATCAATTTAATGATTAGGATAATTTCATTCTTATGCGAATCCAAACACATCATGCACAAGCCTTACAATATGAGTCCATGTGTTTATTCATTTTGAAAATAATGTCCCTGTTTAATTTGTCAAAAAAATTCCGCCCAGTGACACTGACATATAGGCCTTCAAGAAATACGGAATCCTTGCATTACCATTAGTAAACATTAGTACTTCTGATCATAGTATAAAAAGAATATTCAGATTCATAACTCACTTGCAGATCTACATGAAGTAATGGTGAATTATGACGGCCCACCATCTGAAGTTTTTCGACTTGATCCTTGTCTCTGAAATTGGAAAAAATGCAAAATGAATGGAAGGGCAACAAACAAAGTACTGAACCAAAGAAGAATTCAATGTTGAAAGTAAACTATGGAATTAAGGTGTCTCCATTCTAAGTATTGACTATCCCTCTCCAACTCAAGTAACTACACGATTGTTGATTTAATTAAAGACACCAAATAACTTCGCAACTCCAAGAATTTCACCAAATCATGTCTGGACCCGAAGACTGCTTGATAAAAATTAACTTTACATTCCAGTTAAACAACTTTCCATAAGCAATTTTATTTCTTCTTTATGATATGTATGGGACGAGATATACTGTTAAGGCATTTATAATTGAACAGAATCTCAGACAGGTGAGAAATGGATAAGCTTAATATCAACCATCCCCCTTTTTTATGTTCCACAACTGGAAGTATCAAATACGAACTTCGATCAGTCTGTCTCATAGTGTTGAAGAACAATGGATAAAATACCTCTTAATGTGTTGTTGTTCCATGCCCTGTCCAGCAGGCTTCTTGATATGTACAGGCAGGGTTGTGCACTGTGAATAAGCATTACATATGGGATGTTGTTTGTTATCAACTGAAAGGGAGCTAGCTTCCGATTCTTCTTCATGACCTATTCCGTTAGGATGTCGAACGAGTACACTTCCATGTCCAATCTCAACAGACACCATAGGTTTGTTACTCTCAAGAAGCAATTGTTCTTCTGAAGTTGCGGAGAAGCATGATGACTGTTGTTCATGCCATATAGTATACAAATCTTTGGTAATCTTCTCAAATGGAGATGGTTTTGATCGACGGATGCAGGTTCTTTTCTTGGAAGGCACCATTGTGTCCCAGACAACAGATTGGGAAGGGCCTGCAAAGATGATTAATGTGTAAGCGATTCAATCGGCAGCAAAGATGTTTAATAGCAGGAATGAATAGTGTCTTTAATCCAGACAAACATCAAACTACACCACTCCACTATATCTTTTTCCTAGGGGTTGGTGACTGAGTAAGAATGCAATTTGTAAATAACGAATAAGGCAACAGGATGGAGTTTGATTTGCAGATTTTAAGTGCCAAATGCGTAAATCATGCCTAGAAATCAAACAAACCTGTTAAATCACTTGCATCAGCACTGCCATATTGGGCACAGCTCTCTGAGTTAGATATGGCAGATCCAGAACTTGATCTATTACTTGTATCTTCATCAAATCCTTTACGGAAACCATGGTTATGACCAGGCGCAAACCCTCTCCAAATTCAGAAAAATCAATATCTTGTTTTTGTTTGAGAACTTTCTCCCTTCTACTCTTAATGGATACATTCTCAACCTTAGATGATACCCTAGGGTTCTCATAGTCATCAGATTCTGCCCTTGCATGTAGAGGAGTATAATTTGCCAGTGTTCCCTTTGTTCTCCACCGAGAACCACATGCATTGCATAGAACTGGCTTCTTGGGTGGTCCATTGAACCAAAGAGGGGTGCCTGTTTCATAATTTATTTATTGGCAGTCAAATCAGTGTCAAGCAATTTGATGAAAGAATGACTGGCGTCAGAAAATTCCTCAATGACAAATCAACATGCATGGCCAACTAATTATTGGTTAAATTTCAACAAGCACAATATATGGAGACGATTAAAAATAATAATTGCAAAGAAGGTAAAAAATAATTGCAATAATGAAATATTGCACAAAACTTTTTCATCATAATTAGAATTCTAAGATTTTTGGAGGATGGTTGACATTGCACTGCAAATTTCAGAATGTAATTGTATAATATCTTTTAAGGTGTTTTCTTGAGTTAGAATATCAAGAGGGAGGGTGCTTTTCTTTACATTGGTAAAACAGAAAGCGAGAAACTGACTATATCAATGTGGAGAAAAGGAAAGGAGATTAAGATTATAGTCACTCTAAAGATAAAGCATACATCTTTAAGGATTTATGACAGTTTGGTACAGCTTGCTATCCTATATATAGGGAACGTAGAGCAGAAGGCTATAATGACAATGCAGATTTGAGTTCTAAATATAGATACGCTACTAATTCTTCTTTTGAAGAGACGATGGGGAGGAAGAAGCAGGAAGAAACACGGCAAATTTATATGTGAGGTGTCTGTCTGCATACGCTTGGAAGTTAGCACAAGGAAAAGTCTACGCCATCAGTCTTCTTGATGAGATTGAGCAAAAAGGTGTATAATTTGTAGCTCTTTTTCCAAATTGACAAGAGTATGGGATCAGAAACAAAAATAACCAAGGAATTTGGTGCTTGAGCATTTAGGAAAATATAGTCAATTCATTTAATCGAAATCGTCAGTAATTATCTTGACAGCTCTTTAAACATGTCATACAACACATTGACAACCAAAACTTGTTTATCCCAAATTCCCCTGAAAATATAATTCTATAAAGCATGGCAACAAGAGTCCACTCTGAGATCTAAAAAACT